AGGATCCTCAAGCATTTGAGACAGGAGATATTGGAGTTCCAACCAGCCACAACAGAAAGTCTTCACGGCACAGCAGAACATTCAGTAGACACAGAAGAGACTTTTGAGTAATATAGAGTAATACTGAGTCTAGAGAGAATGCTATTTTAAACTACCCCTAAAAAGCTTAAAGATAAAACAATAACATCAATCCGATTAACAAAAATGTAAATGTGACAGAACATAGTATAATACTCTCTAAAGTAGGACCAAAAAACCCAAAACCCCCATAACATAATAGCAACAATATATAGCATTTATTTTTTAAAAAAATCATGCATGCTAAAAAGCAAAAGAAATGTGATCCAAAACCAAGAAATAAATCTGTCTATAGAAAAAGGCCATAACGGGTAGCTCGTGAGCTCACTCAGGAGAGCACAGGACCAATAACACACAGGTCAAGGGTCTGATGTCCACACCAGCCAGCCACCAAAAAGTTAAAAAATGAAATAACAGAAAAGAAAAAGGCCCACAAATGACACAGATGATAGAATTAACAAACAAGGAACTTAAAACATAGATAGATGATTCATAGACAGAGATTTGAAGTAGCGAAACATGAATATAATTTTAAAAGAAATGAAAATTAAATAATCAAATGGAATTTCTAAACCTGAAAAATACAATATCTAACAAGGAAAAATTCACTGTATCATTTTAAATGTATTTAGACACTGGAGAAAAACTTAGGTGAACCTAAAGAAACAGTAATAAAAACTACTCAAACAGAAGTAAAGAGAGAGAAAAGATAAAAACCCCAGAACCTCCATTAAGCATTGTCATGTGTGTGTCATTGGAGTTCCATAATTGAGGGGGATTGAGGAGGGGAGTGGAGAGACAGAGGCAGAAAAACTATCTTGAGAAATGATTCCTGAAATTTTTTCCAAATTTGATATAAACTAAAACCATACAGACCCAAGAATTCATACAAGACAAACAGGACAAGTATCAATAACTCCAAGCAGGACAAATATCAATAGAACCACACGTACGCACTCCATATTCAGCTGCTAAAAACAAAAGATGAAAGGAATGCCTTAAAAGCAGCCCCAAAAAACCACTTCATACACAAGAAAATAAGAGAACAAGTTATGACTGACTTCTAATCAGAA